CTCCTCCAAATCCAGAAAATTTAGACTCAGTCCTATCCGAAAAGTACTGTACTCCCTAAGTCAGCAACCAAGGGATTTTCGTGATTCTTCGCATTACGTTTCCATCGACAACTTCTAGCCGCTGAAATACCTGCACAACAGCTCCTTGTTTCCAAAAATACTCGGGAAGCATATTGCCTATTTTCAAGGTCTTCTGTAGTGTTCTGACTGCCATGGCACTAAGCCAACGAAAAAAGAATCATAGAAAGACCAAATTTCCTAGCGACGCCGAAGCCTCAAGAAGTGCATAGGATAGATTTACCTGAAATGAAATTACTTTGCTCATTTGATGAGCTGTTGTTTCATTATCGCATTTCTCACCCGAAACTACAGATAGTCTTCAGTTACTTACATTTATAAATGTTGACGACAAAAAATTTCAAAATTATTTATGCAAATTTTTCAAAAAAATTCTAAAATTTTGTCGACGGTTCTTATAATTTTTCAGTCCTTATTTTTCAGTCTTGGAGTTTTTCAGCTCATTTCGAAAGTCCGGAGGTCGTTCGGTAGTCGCATTTGATGTCCCGCCTTCACATCGAATCAGTGATAGTGATAGTACTACTTCTGAAGCAGTATCGGACGAGCAGGAGCATTCAACAAGCTCGGGAACTGTCACATCCGATAGTTCCGATGACAATAACGTTCGCGAAAGTGTCTGGTCGGATGAGGATAGCGCTGTTACTGATAGCGAAGATGGTGATTCGGAAAAAGATTCAGAATTCGGAAGCAGCCGTCCTAAAATGGTAACAGATTTCCTCAGATTTAATTCCTCTTTTCCCCAACACACAAAAATTAATTCTTCACGAAATTTTGAAAAGTACTGATGCTAATTTCTCAGCAACAACTGTGCAAAACATCGAAAAGAACAGTCGTCGACAGCCTTGTCAACGGCCGTTTGCTGTTGGTACTTGCTGTCGCTTGAGCTGTTTCAGGAATGTTGAGGCTCCATCTCTCATAATGAATGGTCACAGAGGGGTTTTAACTTTAACTTTTGCTTGGTGGTATTAGTAAGAGGAGATAAATTATAGTTAAAATTGCAGCTCCTCTTTGGCAAAATGCGTCAGCAGTGTCACTTAGTATTCAAGAAATTGAGAAATGGTAAATACTAAAGGAAAAAGTACAATGGGGACAGGATGCCATCGAGACAAACC